GAGGCCTGGACTGGCGCTGCGCGCTGGACAAAGGAGAGATCCTACCGCTGCGCGGCCTCCGCCATCCTCCTGCTCCGCCTCCTTTCCCCCTTGGGCCCCGCAGCGGGGGCCAAGAAGTGCGGACTGCTGCCTCGAAGGGCGAGAGTTTTGAACGTCCTCGAGGTTGTTGTTTTGGAGGTTTGGGAACGTGTCTGTACTTTCTCGTGGCCGCGGCTGGGCGCAGCTCGGACCCAGGGAGCCACAGTGGGCAGGGCATCGAGGTGGGAGATGGGAGGAGGGGGGGGAGAAGAAAGGAGGTGGCGGAGGATGACAATTACGACGATGCGGAGGATGATGAGGATGGTGAGCAGCTGAGCAGCTTCTCTGCGCGTGCCCGCCGTTCGATTTCTTTGCACGGAGCAGCCTGGCCTTGGGCTCGGCCCGCCACCGTGCTCTGACAATCGAAGACCCCGTCGGCAAGTGGGTCGCCAACATCCGTTCACCCGTTCTGTCTTCCGAGCACTCGAGGTACGACACGACAATCTGGGGGGCTCTTCCACCAGGCAGGGGACATACACTTAGCGGCAGCCAGAGCACCAAACCAGGCAAGCCACGGTAGGCGTGGGGAGGCGGAGGAGAACGAGTATGGAGATGATGGTGATGAGGGGGTGGAGGAGATATGAGGTACGAGTCTTTAGCTATTGCCTACGCGCCACCCTCTCTGCTCCCTCACCCTTCCTCCTCTCTCTCTCTCGTTCTCTTTATTTGCTGTGTGTGTGTCGTGTTCTATCTCTGTCTCTCTCGCTCGCTCACATGTGCGATCCCTTGGTTCAGGGCAGGTGCCCCGAACGCCCAGTCGGGAAGAGGTGGGGGTGGAATGAGGGAAACAACGCAACATACATTGTCTACGTAATGCCCCCGTTCGTGTGCTTTTCAACAAATGTCGTTAGTCTTCCAACGTAATCTCCATTCCCCTTCAAAAGGAGCCAGACCGAACGGGAAATATTGGAGGGAGAGAACAAACAACACTAAAGGAAACAACACCACTGATGCCTGTTTCTGAAGCAAAAACATACCACATTGTATGGCTATAGGTTATTGGGTTCGGGAAGGTGTCGCAAGTGTTTCCTCAAGTCTTGCTGATTATGTTGGCTTCCCAACGTCGCCCATAGATCCCTTCTGGAAGGAGCCTGCCCGAGCGGGAGGAGGTGGACGGTGGGAAGCCGAAGAGGCCAAGAGAGCAAGCACAACTAGCGAACAAAAGCGAGAAACCAACCGGAGACGCGGGCAGAAACGATCGCCGCGGCAGACAGAAGCGTCTGGCGCGACCGGCAGCCGCGGCGGGCGCCTACACCTACGCCTACGAAGTCACCACGACGAAGTCGACGACGATGGACCCGATGACGAAACCGACGACGGCGACGACGACGAAAACGACGACGACGGAACAGACGATGACAAACCTCACGACGACGACGACGACGACGACGACGACGACGGAACTGACGACGACGAACCTGACGACGACGACGACGGGACTGACGACGACGAACCTGACGACGACGACGACGACGACGACGACGACGACGACGACGACGACGGCACCGACGACGACAGCGGCGACGAGTGGCGCCGCGGCCGCGGCGCCAACGCGCGCCTCGACGTGGTTGCACGCCACCAGCCGCACGAGCCGCTCCTCCGCGGCCACGTGTCGGAAACGGTCGGCCTCGCCGGCGCGCCGTCCGTCGTCGTCCGTCGTCTTCTTCGCTGGTCGCTTCTTCGTGAGCCCTGGCAGGTCCAGCGGGGTTACGTCTTCCGCGAGTCACAGTATTACCCTTGCCACCCGTGGGCGAGATCAACTGCGCAACTATCGTGGGTCCTAGGCAATCAAGCTGGGTGACGTCTTTCGCGCATAAACGCATTCCCCGCGCCTCTCTGGACGCTGCACGCTGCACAAATGTCGCCACTTTCGTGGGCTCCTGGGGGGCCTAGCGGAGTGGCGTATTTAGTGGATCAACGCATGTCCCTCGCTTCCCTGGGCGCTGCCAGCTGCGTATCTGTCGCCAGTTTGGTGGGTTCCTAGGAGGTCTAAGGGGGGGGGACGTCTTACGCGATCAAGGCATTGCCATCGCTTCCCTGGACGCTGCACGCTGGGCAAGTGTCGCCATTTTCGTGAGCTTATTGTGACGTCATACGCGGATCACAAAGTGTCTCTCGACTCTGGGCGTTGTGAGCTGCGCAACTGTCGCTTTCGCGTGCTCCTGGGAGGTCCAGGGAGGTGCGCCAAGTTCTTGCATGACCAGTAACTGGCCGGCAGAATCGGCAGAGAGGCTGGCAGCTCCCCCAATATACAATTGTTGCCCAGGCGGGGGCACGTGTGCCCAGCACGAGAGATACATCCATCCCGAAACGTTCCTGCGTAAGTGATGTTATGGAACAACCGCTCATCATCGAATCACACCACTTTCTCCTCGACCTTCATGCCGTCCTACGTTTCCTCGGCGTTCTCATCACCGCCCATCTTTATAGCCTCTCCTTTCTTGTGCGCATTCCTCCTACTCCTCTTCGTCGTCAATCGCATGCTCTTCCTCATCTTCTTCTATGTGTCGACATTGCCTCGCATCGATTCCATGGAGCGTTCAGTGCAACGACTGCGGATCGCTTTCCTTTTCGCATCACTACTTGTCCTGGATGGGCCCGTCGATATTACCGCTTGCTACATACGAGTTGGGCACGTCTCTGTGTATCGAAAACTGCCAGAAGCCC